CGGAATAGTGTCGGGTAAGACTTGTTCTTGGATCGTTACTCACACTTGCGTGTGGCTCCAACGATGATGTGTACAGCTGCCCATAGAACCTCTCAATCTCACTCAAAATCTCAGGTGTCTCGGAAACGATGCTGCCACACTCAGTCTTCAGCTTTGACAGTTGGCTCTTTCTGGCAGACAGATCTCTGGCAAAGACTTTGGAGCCCTGGTTCCACTCGATCGCTTCTTTAATACGAGCAGTATTAAAGTTTCGCCGCATGCATTTGGAGATGTCTGTTCAGTTGCCTGTATGCTGTCAAATCTGTTGACGATTGCAGCCTCATCTCCCGTCTAACGGCCATGAGATTAAGAGTGTGATTGGAGAGTTTTTGTGTTCTTCTGCGGCGGGTCTTGCAGAACTTAGCTCCGACCGCATGGACAGTTTCCACGAGCTTGTCATTCATATCGTCCACTGCATTGCAATCTTCTAGGCACTGAAAGCGGTTACGTAACTCGAGCTGAAAGGTTTCGGGATTCTGGATTAGAAGCACGAGGGGGACGGAGCGTTGACTTCATTAGACGAGACCTCTCCAACTTAACGTTTAGGTTCAGTGTGCCTCTAACCATTCGGTAATCGCTGCCGGTTTTCACCCTTGCGATCACTGAGACATCACTGAACAGTTGGCGTCTGGTCGTCATAATGAAGTCAATCTCATTTTTTGTCGAACCGTCGGGGCTCGACCAGGTCCACTTCCTGGGGGCCGCTTCTGGAAGAAAGAGTTCATCATAAAGAGTCCCTCTTTCTCCATAAAGTCAGCCAGCTGCTGGCCCCTACGGTTCCATTGCCCTACTCCAAATTTCCCTAACTTCAGCTCACCGCCTTCTCTTGTGCCTAGTTTTGCGTTGAAGTCTCCCATCAACACCGTGTAGTGGGTTTTGGAGGAATGCATGGCTCTAGAAATATCCTCATACATTTCCTCCACCTCCTCATCGGGATGTGCCGAGGTTGGTGCGTAGACCTGTATGACCTTCAGCGAATACCGTTTGGTGATTCTGAGTATCAGGTACGCGACCCTCGTCGACACACTCCCAATCTTTACGTTGTTGACGAGAGACTTGTGGACGATAAATCCGACACCTCCTTGGTACAGGTGGTCGTCCTCCCGGTGATAGAACAAGTTACCGGACTCGAGGATTACCGTGTCCTCCCCCTCTCTTCTCTCTCAGATAATCCAATAATCTCGGGACCTCAGATAATCCAATAATATGCCATCGCAACTTGTCTACCTCTTCTTCCAGCTCCAGTATCTTCTCGTCAGTCCTCAGGGTGCATGCGTTATACGTTGCCAGGTCGAGTCATCGTAGGTGGCAACCGAACCTCCACCGGAGATTCTTAGCCCCCCTGCCCTGCCGTTACTATGGTCGCCACCGTAGCCAGAAATAGCGGGGATGCCGGGGACTGGAGGCAGTTTGTTTGCGTCGTTGGTCATGGGGGGATATTTGCCATAGTTGCTACGCTTGGCAACCGCCGTTTTTTATTATGTTATTGTTATTAGGAAGATGCTGCTGCCCATCTCCTTTCTGTGTCCCTCTGTCGCGTCTTACGACACCCACGGGAAGATATGGGGTAGTGGATATTCTCAACCGCCACCGCCATATATAGCATAGTGTAAGCATATATATAGCATTAAAAAAACATGAAAATAATAGATTGCCAATTTTTTTTTAATTTACAATAAACATGTCTAATAATTGGAGAATAATAGGAGAGAGAGAACAATAAATACATAAATGCACAGACATAAGGTTATAAAAATTTGTAAATATTATGTAGCATTATTTATCTAGTAGTCTATACAAGTCTCAATATTCAAAAATATGAATATACCAAGCATTACGACATCTAAATAAGGTGATGCTTACACTATGTATTCCTTTACATACATATGTGTCATCATCATTCATCATTACAGCTCTTCACAGGTCCATTGCTAAACATAGGCCTACCCCAAGGAACACCACAAAGCATGGTCCTGAGCCACCTGCATCCATCGACTTCTTGCATGTCTTACCAGAATGTCACCCCATCTAGTGGAGGGACGCTCTAAACTTCGCCTGCCGGTACGAGGCTGCCACTCTTGTGTACCTTTCTTCCCCATTGCCACTTCAGCTTACTAATCCATTAGGGAATTTCGGTTACTCTGGTTCTTTTGTGGATATCCTTATTTTCAAGTCTAAAACGCAGAGAAACTTCGAGCATAGCCCTTTCCATAGCTCGCTGAGCGACTTTGAACTTCCTTTTACAGCCAGCCCAGCCTACTGGCCATATATATAAAAATCTCAAATACATATTCATTCATTTCATTAATAAAACTAGCTAGGTACATGAACATTAATCTAAGCATTATTCACACTTTGTAAATTATCTGTAGTAATTTTCATAACCTTTTTTTTTTTTAATAAGGATAAGGTGACAAATGAACACACAGTCCACCTGATAGTAAGTGGTTGCTGTGGCCCGTAGACATCTACATCTATCCTCGATTATGAATCAAAATGCAGATGCGTTGTCACCCGCGAGGACTAAGATAGAATACCTCATTTCCAGTAAAAAGTGTCTCCGGTTCTCTACACTCATGATATGAGACACAGAAGCATTAAGGTATTACTTTAAGCTGGTATTCTATGAGAGCGTGGTCCTTCCCCGGTCGAGCCGACCCATTTGTGCTACAACTATACTACTAATATAACTGCAGCACAACTTTACCACATATAAAATTATTTATCTGTTTTAGAGAAGATAGAATAGAAAAGAATAATTTTTATTCAATATAAATTACATGTAATCCTTATTCACATTTTTTACTTAACCAGAATTTGGAACGGAGATTCGGAAAAACTGTCATGGGAAGAACCAACAAGCAAGACACTCAGCAGGACTTTTTTATAAGTTGAGTATAGGAGCAAATTTATAAGACAGGAAATAAGACTAACTGTAAAATTCTAGTAACTTTAGGCCAATATTTCTGTGTAAAGTGAGGTTACGATTTTAAAAAAAATTATTACTCTAACCATACATTTCCACAAAGGATTGGGGGGGGGGATTCTCCTATACCAACCTCCCTATGCAAGTACTGGATGTCTATATTTTTACCAAAAGAATAATTAAGCATCAGAACTTTCTTCCACCTGAGATTAAACCATAGATGTTTACGGTGTTGATTGTTCACTTTACTATTTATGGTTCCAGGTCTCAAGTGTAAAACAATAATGTATTCCAGCGCATTTATCAAAGATGCATTTTTTAAAAATAAAACATGACCACATTTAACACAGGTTTCAGGTGTGCTTGGATGGATGTCTTTGAAAAACAAACAATACTTTGGACCATCAAATTCTTTATATTGGAAACATATTTGTCTGTCTAATATATTTTATGTGTACGTAAATATTTTTTTTAAAGCATTGGGTGACAAACGAGCACATAGTCCACCTGATGGTAAGTAAATGCTGTGGCCCATAGACATTCACATTTATCTTCAACTAAGTTTTAACTAAGGTCAATTGACAGATTCAACTTGGCTGGGCAGCGTTCAGGAAATTACGACACATCTTCTCATCAGGTATACCTCAAAACCTGAAAACTAAGTTGTACAACCAGTGCGTGTTGCCAGTCATGAGATATGGAACCAAGACGTGGTCCATCACTGCTGGCCGTATGAGGATGCTCAAAGTCGCTCAGCGAGCTATGGAGAGGGCTATGCTCGGAGTTTCTCTGCGTGATAAACTTAGAAATGAGGATATCCGCAGTAGAACCAGAGTGACCGACATAGCCCAACGGATTAGTAAGCTGAAGTGGCAATGGGCCGGCCATATAGCTCGAAGAACCGACAACCGTTGGGGAAAAAAGGTTCTCGAGTGGCAGCCTCGTACTGGTAGGCGTAGTGTAGGGCGACCCCCCACTAGATGGAGTGACGACCTGGTAAGACATGCAGGAATTCGATGGATGCAGGTGCCTCAAGACCATGCTTTGTGGCATACCTTGGGGAAGCTCTATGTTCAGCAGTGGACTTGTAAAGGCCTGTAATAATGATGATGATGATGATGAAGTTTTAACTTAATTTTAAATTAGAAAAATATGACCTGCTACGGCATGGATGAGCAGTCATAGTTTAAAATGTTCTAACACTTACACGGGCTTGTTTTGAAGCCTTCTCGGTTTATAATTGAATTAGGCCCAACTTTTTTTCGTTACATAAAAGGTATGTAACGAAAAAATATTCTTTTATAAAAATATAAGATATCTGCAAGATGAAATCCAAATTCCAAATCAGGTCTCCGTGAGCTTTTGCTTAAAATTTGTAGTAAACTAACTATTTTAACACATACTTGTATTTCAAGCAACAAATGTAAAATATATAACTTCAGCAAAGAAACCTTGCAATTTCACAATTTTTTAGTAAGAGCCCTCTCTAAAACTCTTTCTGTAACTGGATGCGTTTATGGATTTTTTATTTTTAGTCATGTTCATGTGTATTAAAATAAGTATCATTGTGAGTGAGAATTCCTGAGCATCAATGTCTTTAAACCTACTGGATATCCTGAATTTCTAAGCTATAAAAAAAGCGTTTTTTTACTAACATGCATGAAGAAAGAGCAATTGGATTAGATGAGATTTGGACCACTAAAGCTCTGCTTTAAATTAGAAAGTTACATTTACCTAAACATCTCTCTAAGATGATATATTTTTCTATTGGCATTAACTGATGTAGAAAGTGAACTTGGCTAACTCCTTGTAACCAAATTCATGCAAATTTTTTTAGACATGCATGAGGGTATGCTTTTCATCACTTTAATTACCTATCACAGAGAAACTGCTTTTCATTTTTAAAGTATAATATCGTACAAAGAAAGAGCATCATAGCTTTAAATATAGAAAACGTAGATAAGATACTAAGATGACATCAGTGAATTATAAAAATGACATTTCCTAATAAATTAATCAAACTAAATCCACTCACCTCAACGTAAACCCTTCTTTATGTGCGCCGTGTCGCAGCAACCAACTTAAACATTTACTCAGATGTGTATCTTTTTCTTTTATGTTCCTGTAAATACGTTCACAATCATAAGCGTGCCCAATGATTTGTTGATGTCAGTATTGAAGTAATCATACATTTAAGTTTTTTGTGGTTAGTCCTACAACTTTAGGTATGTATTTTTATATGGTTTATAAAAATATTTAGGAAATAATAATTTATCTGGTCAGAAATAAGATGTTTGATACTTTAATTTGCAAAATAGGGGTAAACCATAGATAAATAAATATGTAGCAAGCTAGGGTAAACCAGTAAATAGTGTACGTTAAACATCGATAGACTATCGATGGTATCGATAGTAAATGGCTATCGATACTATCGATAGTTTTTAAAACTATCGATCGATTGTTTACTCGGGTACTACTTTTACATCCCTAGAGTCGAGGTATGCATGTATGTAAGTTATTCCCCGGCTATAGTGACAAAGGTATAGACATTGAGATTGTTCTCTATGGTAGGGGAATTACCGTGCGTATATCATACATTCAAAGGCGTAGACATTGAGATTCTTCTCTATGGTTGGGGAATTACCGTGCGTATATCATTCATTTACAAGACAAAAGTCAGTCAGTCAGTTTTTTATTGTGGATGTTTGAAGTTGAGTGGAGTAACAAACAATTTAGAATTAAACAATAAAACATGAGTAGTAAGTCACGTGCGTGGGATTACTTCAAAAAGACTAATGAAAAGTTTGCCAAGTGTTCTTTGTGTAAAAGAGAGTTTAAACTAAGTGGAAATACTACGAACTTGATCGATCATATGAAGAGAAAACATAATGAGGTATGGATGTGGTCATCCACTGTTTCTGTTACTCAAGACGTAGATACCACTGAGCAAAATGAGAAAATGGACCCAAGCCCTAAAAAGAGAAATACGCTAAAAATTATTTTGATAGAAGTAGTAAATATCCAGATGGGAAAACAAAGCAAAATTTGGATAACAAATACGTGCGCATGATTGCTGTTGACATGGAACCTTTGCGAAAAGGAGAACATGAAGGATTTCGGGATTTTGTAAATGCTCTCGATAGTAGATATGAAATTCCTGATACAACAATATTGAAAAAGAAATTACTGCCGGAATATTATGAAAACGTGAAACAGAAGCTCGTCATAGCATTATCGAAAGCAGAACATGTTAGTGTGACTACTGACTTATGGACATCAATTGCAAATGAAGGCATCCTTTCAGTTACTTGTCATTTCTTTCACAACGAAAAATTAATTGCACCATTATTGGAAGTTGTGAAGATGGAAGGAAGTCATAACGCAGAAAATATAGCCAGTGTAAGTATTTTTAAATTTTATTGCCTTGATACCTACCAATTCAGTGTTTCTTTATAATCAGACATAAACAATATTATTATTGTTTTCAGATGTTGGATGCTACTCTCTCAAAATGGGATATCAGGTCAAAATGTGAAGCAATAACGACTGATAACGCTCAAACAATGATTAACACCGCAGCCAAACTGCATATACGACATATACCCTGCTTTGCGCACACACTAAACCTGACGGTAAGTGATTCGTTTGCTGTGACCTGCTTAGACCAGATTCTGAAAAAATGTAAATCGATTGTGACTTTTTTTCAAGATGAGTTTTTACGTGGTAGAGCCATGCTGCAGTTATATTAGTAGTATAGCTGTAGCACGAATGGGTCGGCTCGACCGGGGAAGGACCACGCTCTCACAGAATACCAGCGTGAAATAGTAGCTTAATGCTGCTGTATTTCGTATGGTGAGTGTAGAGAACCGGAGACCCTTTTTACTGGAAACGAGGCATTCCATCTTAGTCCTCACTGGTGACAACGCATCTGCATTTTGATTTGTAATCGAGGATAGATGTAGATGTCTATGGGTCACAGCAACCACTTACCATCAGGTGGACTGTGTGCTCGTTTGTCACCCTAGCCTATAAAAAAAAAAAAAAAAAAAAAAAAAGAGTACTCTAGCTAGCGATAAATTACGGGCTATTCAACGTGAATTAAATAAACCAGAACTGAAAGTGATCCAGGAAGTACCCACCCGCTGGAACAGTGCATACCACATGCTGCAAAGAATTGTTACAATGAAGACAGAATTAACTCTCGCACTTAATGAATGTAATCGGGCTCCACCAGGAGTCAATGCTGACGAATACCTAATTATTCAAGAAACAATTCAAATTCTGGAACCTTTCGATCTAGCTACAACAAAAATTTCCGGAGAAAGCTATATAACATTGTCACTGATAATACCATTGATTCGTGGAATAAAAACGAAATTAGTAGAAGTTGAATCTCAAATTGTTACTGAAAGCGGAAACAAAATATTACTCTGCATGAAGGGATCAGTTGACAAAAGACTAAGTCCCTATGAAAGCAGGACACCTGTTGTACTTGCTACAATATTGGACCCCAGATTTAAGAAGAAGGGGTTCAAAACAAGTGACGACGAGAAGCGAGCTGGTCAGTGGCTGGAAAAGGCCTATGCTAGCCATTTAACTAAAGAACGCTTGGCTGTAGAAGAAACGCAACCAACACCATCCACGTCTTCAGGAACATCTAATGACCTGTTGGGATTTCTAGACGTTCCGGACGTATCGACCCCGTTGAGTAACTCATTGGTAGATGTCAGGCAATATCTCGAGAAGCCAGTAATTGACAGAAAAGAGTGTCCTATAACATACTGGAAATACACCAACAATAAATTGAAGGAATTAGCGATGCTCTATCTCTGTATTCCAGCATCTTCTGTGCCTTCAGAACGAATATTTTCGAAGGCCGGACAAATTTTAACCGAACGCAGAAATAGGTTAAAAGAAAAAAGATTAAATGAATTGTTGTTTATAAAACAAAATAGCTGTTATTTTAATGATTGATTTCTAACTATAATAATGATGAATACTGATTTTTGATTGTTTGATTGTTATTTCGAATATATATATATCAAAATAAAATTCTACGTTTCGTATAACATTTGTTATTTTATTGATGTTACGCTAATCCTACAAGTTTTTAAACTATCGATAGACTATCGATACTATCGATAGTTTTTAGTTAAACTATCGATACTATCGGATTACCAAACTATCGATGTTTAACGTACAGTACCAGTAAACTCAGGTAACTGCTGCCCTAATCTTGACACCCCGCCAATTTTTTTTATTAGGATTTTTAAAAAGTACTCTGTGGGATTTTTGCACTTTTGGTTTTGGCTCAAAAAGTGCTCTGTGTTTTGTCTTTTGGCTCGGCCTCGGATCGGTGTTACCAACCACCACTATATTTTTTTAAGTTTTCTAATGTCCTCCTAATAATAATGTGATACTCATAATCAATGTTTCTATTGGAACACAAATATTTCACCTCTTTTCTTAAGGAACCCCTTGTAAAAGCAGGATAATTGATCATCAATTCCTAAAATAAAATCCGAAAAAATATATAAAAAAAATGAAAACCGTATCATGATAAGTTTACTATATCCTAATTTAATAATTTTTATTTATATATATTCAATCCTTTATTATTATAAATAAACTTACTTGAACCTGAAGACTGAGATTCTATGGTATGTTAGAATATAGTATAAAATTAAAATCAATTAAGTTAAAATCTTTAATACAATAACCTTGAGAGCAATTTTTTTTATTTCTCTATAATAAAAGTAGTTTGAGCTGGCGAAATATTCATACATTTACAAGGGAAGTCCCGCTTCCTACACACTTAGTGATTATATTCTCTTTGGTCGGAGTATAAAGTAATGTCCTGTCTCTATTTTTTATTTTATTTAATGCACCCGTTGAGGGATAAGTTAAGTAAAAAGATGGAATGATGAAAAAAATTACGACATTAATGTTATTTCTGTGGATACAAAACTAAAATTATTTTTTAAAAATTTGAAAGTCGGTAAATAAAGCAAGGTAGTAGATAGGAGTTCGAATACTAAAAGTTAGTAGATCTATCGAAAAATTGGTAAAGTTGGTAACACTGGCTCGTACCTATCCATCTTTTTTTTTAAATTAGCCCCTATTGTATATACCACTTTGGTGAAGGTTCAATAACACCATCCCATAGATTACTGACTATGTACACCATCCTTCACCATTCCCTCAATCATGGTTTCCGTTCCTTTTCACGTGCTACCGGCAATCTTCTTGGCCGCTGACGGAATGGCGATTCTTCTCTCGTGTTTATTTTGTGTTGAACTAATTACCTTATTATAACTCCTTGATCTAAGCCTATCCACGCTATCATATATTTAGCCATGGTAAATATTGGTTGATTTATTATGTCCACACTCCACAGCTCACTTTTTATAAATCACAAATTAATAAATGTGTAGCAAGCTATTATAAACCCGAAACTGTCATATTGGAAAGAGTAATTTAACGTTATTACGCTACATAAACCAGGCGCGCTATGCTTTAGTACGTAGTGATCGTTCTCCTGTTCTCTAGCCTTCATGCCACAAACTAGAGTACTAACGTAGTTCTTTCTTGGCAAATTAACAATGTAGTGATTATATACTCTTTGGTCTACTCTCTTAAATAGGTATTAAGTATAAAGCCCACTTTCCACTATGGGATATAATATAATTTATGTTACATCTCGAGATATAAATTATTATCGCTCACCGTACCTTTAAGTGGAACCGTTTCCACTGAGATATAATATATATATATATTACATCCCAAACTATAAACATTTTTTCGATCGACTGAGCGATATTTTCATATTATATTTCACCTCCTGTACCCCGCACACCCTTCCGCGCCTCGGCTACGTCCTCAGATCGTCCAATGTCGAACGCACACTGGTTAAAAGATATATCTCACAATGTGAAGGGCAATCGCGGGATATAATTTACATTTCGGGATATAATATGTATTATATCCCATAGCGGAAAGCCGGCTTTATAAAGCAGTTTATATTCTTTTTTCTTTGGTAATGAGGGCTAATCTTAGGGTGATTCACAGACTACTATGATGGGTGGGGTAATTACATACATACGTATGCATCATATATTTAGAATATACTGGCGTACAGTATATTCTAAGTATATGGTATGCATAGAGAGAACCTACATATCTACATAAATTGACACAATCTTGTTCTTATTGTACATCAAAGAATACTATAATACATACATAATAGAAGGTGGAAGTGGACGGAGCCCGTGTAGCCACTAAAATGTCACTAACACGTCAATTCACACGTATAAACGTCAACACGAGATGTGTTTTGAGGTTACAATCGTTTCCGAATTTCCCATGCAAATTATTTAGAAAATGCCAAATTGCACGCTATTTACAAATATATATGTATTAAAATCTGTCTGTCAACACAGCGAATCGAGTTTGCAGCAGTGATAATACGACGATTATTGCTTGTATGTGTGCTCCCGGCGGCGCCTATCATCGTATAAATAAGGTTGGCAGCCATTATATTGTGCATTATAGTTTTTTATGTAGTACATAAACAATATTATGCACTGAAGCGTTGAAAGATGTTGCGTGTAACAAAAAAAGTAAAAGATATTACCTGACATTATTCATATTGTATATAAACAAGATTATGCACTAAGGCGTTAATAACGAGCTCGAGTCCTTCAACTCCTCATCGTTATCAGGATTGAGAACTTTTGATATTCGAGAAATATCAGGGTCAGTCATTTGTAAAGTTAACAACCAACTGACCGTCTCTATGCGGTAAACTGTGCGAAGGTAGTCCTCTGTAGGATCAATCAACCTTGAATTAAAATCAATATGAGCCATTTGAGTACCCGGACGGTATTCGATGTTGAATGAAAGTTCACTAATTTGCAGCCACCACCTAACAATCCGTGGTATAAGGTCGCGTTTAGTAAGAGTTGTCCTAAGAGCATGACAATCAGTACCTACTTTAAAGAAGATACCTAAAAGGTACACTCGGAATTTCTTCAAAGAGCAGACTATAGCCAGCGTCTCCAGCTCATACGAGTGAAGTGGCGTTCTTCAGGAGTAGTTTGTCGACTAAAATAGGCGACTGGTTTTAGAATGCGTGGGTTTTCTTGCCATTGCAACAATATTCCGCCTATTTCAAGAGCACTAGCGTCAGTATGGAGTTCAGTACCTAATTTCGAGTTATAAAGGGACAATATAGTCCGTTCTACTAGCTTATCTTTTAATACGGTAAACGATTTAGTCTCTAAGCTCACCCATTGAAAAGGAACGTCTTTCTTTAGCAAGTTTGTAAGAGGTCTGGTTAACTCACCATATCTTCTTACAAACCTAAAATAGCTTGTTAAACCAAGAAATTATCGGACTTCGTGTACAATCTTGGGTATGGGAAACTCTTTAACAGCCAGTATCTTCTGCTCATTTGGCCTTATACCATCAGCAGATATCTCATACCCCAGATAATTTATGGTATCGTCGAAAAAACGGCACTTCGAAAGTTTAAGTGTTAGGCCACTTTCTCGGAAAAGTTTTAATACTTTTTCTAATCTTTGAAATCCTTGCTCTAAGTTCACCGATGGCACAAGTATTATGAGTGTGAAACGCTTGTACCATTGCTGATAGACGCGGGGGGAATTCAAAATCCAAACACGCCAAAAAAGAAAAAAACCCCGAGATAAAAGATAATTGAAAACAATCTTTTAGTTTTATTATTTAAAGCCCTAAAATCTACGCATAGGCGTTGTTCGCCAGTTTTTTACGACTCGCAAAGTCGAAACTAGATTCTTGAATTACGTGGTTTTCCAGAAGTTCATTGATAACGGTACGTACTTGTTCTCTCTCTCTGAAAACGACAGCCTATAGGGTCCATATACTACCGGTCTACCACCTGTTAGTTCAATGGACATTTCTACACCTTTAATGCATCCTAACTCCGTGAGATTCGTAGCGAAGCAATCACGGTAAGACTGCAAGAGTCCGTTGAGCCTATCAACGATCGATTCACTAATATTTTTGCCTACTTAATATCAGCCTTTTCACGTGGCTCCAGAGAGGACGTATCTCTCTTAATTCTATTAACGTTACGAATATCTCTTTCGACAAAAGAATTAGCCCTAGCTAAAATTGTATTTGGCTCAAACACAAGAGGGTCAGAAGCGAAACTTGTTACTATCAAATGACCTTTTCCCGACTTTATAGAATAAGCACCCTGATGCAATCGGTATTCTTTACCTGGTTCGACATAAGTATAACCATCAACATAAATATCCCCCGTAAACATTGGATTGTCTGTGTATACTTCAACTAAGCCGACCTTGTCTATGACGAAAGACTAGCAACCATAAGTTTTACATTATGACCTAGGGTCAACGATTCCCTACCAGGGCATTTATAAAAGACCAACTTAGAACTATCTTTCATCACGGTCACCAACGGGAGTTCCGTGACATCTTGACCAATGAGTGACGGAGATTGTATTAACTCGTCATTGATAACGAGCATCTCAACGTTGATCTCTATTTCATCTAATTGCAGTGTAACAAATCTTTTGTATAGCGGCGTGACCGATGAATTTCCAAAACCCTTTATTGCTGGTAGTCCCGTGAAAACTTTATCCAAGTTTAGTTTGCAGGCGTCAGACGCGCGTATCAAACTGCACTCACTCCCAAAGTCTACGTAAGCTACGAATATCTGACCGTCAACGATAACTTTCTTGTAAAACTTGTCGTTGCCACTATCAGATGTAAAAATTGACATCGTTTTACGTTCACCCTCAGGATTCGGTTTTTTTGATCTATCTGTGCGAATAGGTAATGGATCAAGTTTGCAGCTTACAAAATCATGACCTACTCTATGGCATTTCTGGCACATGGTAATGGGTTTGGGACTTTTTTAAAATGAATGTCCTTTTTCCTTACAATTGAAACAGGTGATATTATCAGATG